TTGGGCCAATCGACATAACACTACAGGGGATCCAGGGAAATTCCCCGGTAACTTTTTTGTTTGTTTTAAAGACTGAAATAACCTCTGAGGCCTTTTTGGCGATCGTTTTTTTTTTTCTTATTTTTATTTATTTTATTTCCAAATTTTTATAGCGCCCTTTTCATGAGTACTCATGTTCAAAGGCGCTTTTACATTAAGGATGCAAACAGAATACACCCACACCCTACTACGGACCGTCACCAAAATGTAATCATATCTTTACTGGGTTATGCCTAACACTCCCTCTTATTTTTATTTATGTCAGTGCAGCCGTTTTTGATATATGTTGCACACAAAAATACCACACGAAAATACAAAAACGTTACACACACACACACACACACACACACACACACACCCCACACACCCCACCCACACACACTAATGTTAACACCCCAAATTAATACAAAGAAATGTCATTATTTTTCAGAAACTAGAAAATAAAATTAATATCCTTTGCAGCGGTAAAAATAAGTACACGTTAATCATGGGCGGAGATATGATATATATTTTACAATACAAACTAAATCAGACAAACAAACAGTATAAACCCCAATGGCAAATATCCCCACCACTGACGCAGGGCCATCGGAACCACACCGCCGGCCGCACAGGCTTTGGACGGACGACTTTTTCCCAATTGTATTACTTTTAAAAATAAATATACTCTGATACCTGAAGTTAGTATTAATGTTAGCATTAAATTGACTTTTCAATTTAATATTGCATACCGTATTTAAACAAAAATCCACCATTTTTCATTCACCGTTTTTGTATTGCCCATGTACATTTCAACTCTTTTGACAATCCTTAACTTTAGTAATTAAGATTGATTTTAAAAATCTTTAGAGATATACATATAAATAGTGGCCCAATCCTATGTCGTAATTACGACATACGTAAGTCGTAATTACGACTTATTATGTCGAAATTTTGACATACGTACAGTATGTCGAAATTACGACATATTATGTCGAAATTTCGACATACGTATGTCGTAATTACGACGTATTATGTCGAAATTTCGACATAATATGTCGAAATTTCGACATAATAAGTCGTAATTACGACTTACATATGTCGAAATTACGACATAATAAGTCGAAATTTCGACATACGTATGTCGTAATTTCGACATATTATGTCGAAATTTCGACATAATATGTCGAAATTTCGACATAATAAGTCGTAATTACGACATACGTATGTCGAAATTTCGACATAATAAGTCGTAATTACGACATAAAAATATATATTTCAGTGGCCCTAATAGGCTTTCGTAGATTTTATATTGTTTATCATATATTTAGCTTAATTATCCAATACTACCTACTCATTTTTTCATTCATTAGTTGGGTTTTTTTTTTTTTGCAATCTTGCTAATAATATACACACTCTTTGGCGGAGGTAATAATCATTCTTAACTACTACTGTATATTTAATTACAGTTCTTAAACCGCAGTTTTAAATTGCACAAACTCACAAAGTAAAAAAGAAGAGTTTTTCTTAATATTCCATTGTGTAAGTTAATAAATTTTCATGTCACTTTTTGGTCTGCGATGTTTAGTTAAACTAGCATCATAAACTAGAATGCGCTAGGTAACAGCTTAATTGGTGGGAAGCTCATGTGTTAATGTAAACTATATGAAGTAATGTAATGTGAAGAGCTTCCATATATGAATGGACTTGCAGTCATTTCCTAAGAGAATATTTCAAGGAAAAACAGATTATTGAGATTTTAAGCCATCACATTTTATCATGCACTGGAGTAAACACTTAAATTTTATTAAGGTGCTTTTACTGTACATCAACACCATCATAGAGACCATCTTGTATTTACTCGTTTGAGACTGTATTGATTGCATTAAATAATAG